CTGGTAAGGGGCTGACTCTACAGAGGATTCACTTTAGCAGGGCTCTGGCGCCTGCCCAGCCGGCCCTTTGAATATGTCCTCCTCAGATGCAACCCTGGGTGGTGCTCAGACTCTGGTTAAAACTGGCCACTGAGTGTGCCGGCCCAAGGGCCTCCTGGTAGGGGCCCAGCTGCAGGCCAAGTTTAGCAGCAGCCTGGGCACTGCCTGGGGCCACCTGGCAAGAGTCATCAAGCAATCCATAGATGGCTTGACACCCGTGCTGGCCTTAGAGGTGCCTTGAGAGGCCAAGCCAGAAACTGAGGCTGGCTGCCACTAGTGCCAGCTTTGGAGCTGCTCAGCAAGAGGTATGGGGCACACTGAGGATAGATGCTGCCTTTGTGGGTTTTGTGAACTTTTTAGAAATTTTAGGATAGTATGTAGCAAGACAGGCTGTTTGCATGGAAAAGCCACTGGAAGAAGCTTGAGTGGGCCTGCAAGTCAGGAGGGGCGGGGTCTCAGGGAATCACCTGGGTGGGGCAACCTGCATTAACCAGGTTGATCTGGCACCTCAGATATGGCAGCCACCTGCACCCGATCGTGGGGAGAAAGGAGTGCTCAACAAAGGAACAATGGTTTCTGCCAGCACTTCTGTCTGGATAAAAGCTGCCCCTCCAGCCCTCTTCCTGAAGGCAGACAATTCAGTTCCTCCCTGTATATCCCTGGCACTCCTCAAGCAGCTGCCCCAGTGCTGGAACTCAGAGCGAGCGAGTCCATGTGGGTTTCCTTAAGAGGAACATGTGCAACTTCAGCCACCCTGTCTCACTTAGCCACAATCTCCACTGGTTTTCACAGCCAAAGGTTGTGGCGACTTCTCTTCCTGGCACTGGAACCTGGGCTAGGGAGCCCAGTCTGGAGCCGGGACCCTTCACTTTTCCGGGGGGGACCTCTGCAGCCAAGATAGCCCTCCCGATTCTCAACCACCCGTTTCGTGTCTCCGCCCCTCCTACCAGTCTCAAGGTGGCCTCTTCTGTATGTCCCCAGTTGTAGGACTTCTGTTCAGCCAGATCTCAGGCGACTCCCAATGATAGCTGTTGTGTAGTTTTGTTGTAATTTTGATGTGGTCATGACAGGAGGCGAGTACTGCGTCTACCCTATCTTGACTGGAAGTCTGGTGACATATACTTTAAAATTCCTTTACTCATATCCTCAAAATCACATGTAGGTTATTAAGAGCCTTCAAATTCTCCATAACTGATGAAAATTCCTAAAGGCAAAGTAAAGACTCAAACCATTGAGAGAAATGTGTCACCTAAAGAGCTCCTTGGATGACCAGGCAGCTCATGTCTGGACCCACCCGGCCTTGCCCAACTGCAGATGGCCATCAGAAACTGGGTGGGGTGAAGAGCATTACCTCAGGTCCGCTTCCAGATCCATGTGGTTTCTCTCTACATAAAACGAATCTGGGCCAGCTAAGCAAGGAATGAATTTCTCCAAATTTTCTTCGGGGTATAGCTGAGATAACTGAAAGAAATGAAAAAGCATAGGAAATATGTCAAAACTCATTTTACAAAACCAGAACTCCTCTAAGAAAAATTTGGGCAAGTACTAGATGGGGACATCTGCTGGCATGATACAAAGCAATAATACTTTGTTATTATTAATAATAGCTACTTTGGGCTTCTATATCCACTTAGGATGTAGAAAGCCACAAAAGAACATCAGGCTCCTTCTATAACACCAGGAAAAAGCTTGATAATCTACACAACCATACCTTTCCTGAGCCTGTCAGAGAGCTGCATTGCAAGCCTACCACCTGAACTGAATTTCAAAAGGGACCTGTCCCTCCGAGGAGAGAGGTCACATTTCCACAGGCTGAGTATGGGCCTGTCAACCAGGAGCCCCAGACACAAGGGGAGTGTGCCCTCATTCTCAAGCTCTCTGCCATAGGCAAGAGACTGTAGAGAACCTCCACAGGTGGCACAGGTGTGAGCTGGGTGCTCCTGGGGTCCGGGAAGGAAACTGTGCTTTTCCCTGGAGCCTTCACTCAATTCAAGGCAAAAGCCCTTAAGCTGATGATAGGGGAGGGACAAGATTGCTCCTGTTGCCAGAGCCCAAGCAAAGACTCTGGGGATGAGCAAAAGAAATACTTTCCTACCTCTGGGGGAGAGGTGGGAAGTCCTGTTGGCACTAGGCCATGAGCAAAGATGCTCTGCTTCTGGGGAAGATACAAGCAAAACCGCTCTGGCCCTGAGGAAGGGGCAAGAAGCCCTCTGAGGCTGAATATCCCACACCAGCACAAAGCAGAGGTCAGCTGCTGCTGGGAAAGGAGGGTACAGGGATGCTGAGAAAGCCCTTGCCAAAGGCCTTGTACCTGAGCCTGAGGCTGGACCAAGACAATGGAGAATCCCTCTCACCCCCACCATAAGACCATCACCAGGAAATAAGTAACAGCTGTTTCCCATTTAGGGGTGTATGTGAGAGGTCAAGAGGGTTGGGAGACCCCCCTCCAAGCCATAGGCACACAGGATAGCTGAAAGCTGAGCATGAAGCAAGACCATTGAGAAGAACCTTCTTATACTCCAGGCCTCACTCAGGCAGTCTTCTGCTAAAGGAACCTGAAGCCTGTGGTGCACTGAAGATAACCACAGCAAAAAGAAAACCAAACCCAGTTCAACTCCTGACTGGATCAACCTGAAGACCCCACCAATGGCCTGACACAGCAGTAGCATGCCCATTTCCATGCATAATACTGTTTCCTTCCATGTTTTCTAAATATGATGTCTACCATTCAACTGAAAATTGCAAGACATACCGAAAATAATAATAATAAGGGAGAATAAAAAAAACTATTGTCAAGATAATCATTAGACTCAAAACTAACCAAGATGCTGGAATTATCTGACAGGGACTTTAAAATAACTATGATTAACATACTAAAGGATATAGTTTTAAAAAATGCATGAACAAATGGGAAATGTCTGCAGAGATGGAAACTTCACTAAATGACATGTCAAATATAAAAGCTGGGGGAAAAAAGATAACAAGAAAACCATGGTATTAGAGATGAAGAAGAATTCAGCAAATTCAACAGACTCATCAGCAGCCTGGGCAGATAAGGAGAAACATCAGTAAACTGGAAGATAGGGCAATGGAAATTATCTAAACTGAAATAGAGTGAAAAGAGTTAAGAAAAACAAAACAAGCACGCAAGAGCAGCAGACTATCAAAGGCCTAAGTACATGTAAGTCACAGGAGACATGAGAGCGAATGGAGCAGAAGAAATGTTTGAACAGATAATGGACAAGAATTTCACAAAATTAATAAAAGATAGCAAACCAAATAATCCAGAAATGCCAGAGAACCCGAAGCTGGGTGAATATTAGCCACTGTAAACACCCAGACAAAAGACCAATGAAAGGTCAAAGTTCCCATCAGCACCAGCAAGTCCAGAGGACGTGTTTTTTCTTTCTAACAAAATGAAGCTAGACAAAAAAGAGGAGATTTAGGGTTCTAAATGTTATGTTACAGAGGAAAAGTGAACTTGAGGGAGGTTCACTAATCCTAGAAAGCATGGCACAGTGGTGTTCTTCAATGTCTAACAGGCCAAAAAGATAGGCAGAATCAAACAATTTCCTGTGCAAGCTTTTAAAATAGGATCCATCAACAGGATTTTCTCCTATAGGATTATATCCTTGACTTTATAATAAAAATGTCAGATTCACTTTGGAGACATTTTAGATACATGTGTAGGTATGTAAATATATATGCATGCATGTGCATGTGTACATGTAAGTAAAAAGGTATTTATTTAGTAGTGGAATCTTTTGTTCAAATGATATTTATTGAATCAATTTAAAAATGAACAGGAAAATCCAACATGTAAAACAGGTAAAGATGGGACTAAGTGAAATCTCTGACCTTTGACCCTCCCGTGTGTGCCTCTCTCCTACCTCTGCTGAAGAGTAACCAAACCAAACCCAACCCAACCCCCTTGGTCATCTGTGCATTTCCATCTTCTGCCTCATCTCAGTCTCAACAATCAGGAGTACAGACTGTGACATCGAGGACCATGTGTTTATTGTCATGCACCCTTTTAGATGTAGATCTTGGCTATCCTGTGGACAGGCACAGCATTCACTGAAATTACTCTGCAATATTATCAACAGGGGAACGAGAGCCTTCTTATTCTTATAAGAGCCCTTAATTACCTTACCTTTGAAATAAATTCAGTCACTTCAGAGGAAGATTTGGTTACTGATGTAACTGAAGAGTCAGACCACAAGACCTTAAAAACAAACAAATAAACAAACCTTAAAAACAGACACCACATATGTAATTCATAGCACACCTGTCCAGGCATTCTTCACTGGCACAGGGGCCGTGAGCACAACGAGCCCTAGTGTATTGCACACCTTGTAAACAGAGCATTTACACATCCCTTGACTTGTTAAGAGAAACAGCATTTACTCAGGTGCATTCAAGCTTAACTTCGTGTTATGTGCAATTATTCAATGATCACCAAATTACTCAAGCATGGAGTCAAGGCTTGCTCTTCAAAGTTCTAACAAGTCACTGACAATCTTGACTGTGACACCAGCATATATCATCCTCAAGTGGACCTGCTCTTCTTAGGTCAATGTACATGACTTTGGACGTGGAATTAAGAAGTTACCATACATGAGCCCATGCATCCACACAGTAAATGCTTATGTGTGTCCCTGCCCTCAGGAATCTGACAGAATTGGGGGCCTTGTGGAAGTCAATCCATGTCAACTGGCCGGGGCATCATTACTGAAGAGCGGAGAAAACATTCCATTGGCAGTGGGGCAGGGGGTGATACGTAGAAAGAATCTGGAGAGAAAGCATCAGAAGGGCTTTCTGGAAGACATTCTACAACATCTGGTATACCGAATACCCGACTATATATACAGCTGTTTTTCCTTGCCTACACATATGACAGAAGGTAGTTTTATTTCATTACTTCATAAATGTCAGTCTCCCCAAATGTTCTATAAGCTCCATGGGGTAGAGGGCTGTATCTTTTTCCTCAGTTTTCTCCCCGTGTCTCATAATGTTTCCACGTAAGGTGCTAAGTGAACATGAGGGGAGGGAGAGATAGCACCTATATCCATCAGAGAGGGCTTTTCTGCACAAGAAAAGCATGGGCTGAATTGAGAAGGGCAAGTAAGAAGTCTGCTAAAGGAATGAGAAAGACAGAGTGGGAAGAGAGAGGGGCAGGGCCAGAACAAGGATTAAACCGTAAAATAGGAACTTTACCCTAAAATTCAGAAGAAGCCATTGGAGGATTTCAAGTCAGGACATAAAATAACCAAATGTATTTTATTACCAAAATTAAAGAATAAAAGCATTATAGTTACACGAATTTAGAGCAAATAGAGCTTGGAGGTATAAAAAATTCCTCTGCTCTCCCTCTGCCTACCATAAACCGTGTGTGCTGGCCTTGGCCTGGAAGGGCTGCCATCTTCTCCGTCAAGTGCTGAAATTCACACGAGTCTTTTTCTATTTCAGTAGTTGTCACACCACACAAAAATTACTAAGGCGTCTGTTTCATCAAGCTCCCATAAAATACAAGCTAACTGAAGAAAGGGACCCACTTCTTTATCTTTGAATTCCCAAACCCTACAGGAATTCACCACCAAGGCAAGCACTGGCATTCTTCGAATAAACGAGGCTTGCCATCCAAAATCTACCTACACTAAAATGAAAATACCCAAACTGTTTTTCTCTCTGAAATAATCAAATCTTACAATAATATTAAAAAGAATTTTGGGGGAACAAGCTGCTACCCACACAAAATACCAGTACTACCTATGATTAAAGGCGAAAACTTTCTCGTCATTAGATGTTTGACGCTGTTAACATCTTGTGTTTTTCAAAGCAAAAGATGTTATGGAAAATTCTTATACTATAACAACCTGTTTCTAATTTGAATTTTTTTTTTCCTTCCACATTCACACTGCATGAATGTATCCTAACCCAACTAAACGTGAAATTCAACATCCAAATAGTAGACCATTTTATGTTGTAACAGACATCTGTGTCCCCAACAATTATGTACTTGAAATAGGTACAACTATCCTAGGTTGTCTGCTCCTGAAGTGTTTTTCTTTTATTTCCAGATGGAGTTGATATTTTGACCGAAGGCAGACAGGAAGCAAGGACTGGAAAGGAGCTCACTTACAGGCTGAGTCCAGCACCACTGCACCCCGGAGAGGATGCAGGCTTACAACACATTCACCCCTGCCTTGCCTGCCAACCCATTCCTTTGCATCAGAGGAAAGAACAGGCCCTAGAGCGGTGTGGATACTAGACAACAGCCTCACTACACACCACATGCTAGAGGTACACATGTCCCATCAAATCCAAGGTGGCATCTACTACAAGCTACTCCATTGTTTTATGTACCACCAAGAAAACATATTGCCAATCGAATTATGGCACAGTATTTTCCTAGCACTTACTCAAAGAGCTACTTGGCCTTACTGAGACAGATTTTAACGTATCTTAAGCATACACAAAGAGCAAAACATGCACAAGATAGATATATACTTAGGATTTCTTCACACTTAGAGTCTAATTCCTGTGACTCACTTTTCACCTCAGTTCTCAACATTAGTATTTTTCCATACAGCATCACTCTCTGGAGCACATGGAGCAGCATTTCCTTCACTTTGCACAGGAATTGTCTCAGCCAGAGGCCCCAGCCCACTGCTCACACCACACCCATAAGGTAAGCAGGAGACCCAGCACCATGAGACCTACTGCCAGGCCCATGAGATACCCCAAGCCAACCACGAAGATGGGCAAAGCAGTCACAGAGAACAAGGCCGTGTAGAGGAAGCACAGACCACATACAGAGAAGAAAACTTTTTAAAAACAAACTATCATTAATATTCTCAGTGTTAACTAAGAGAAGAAAGCAGAGCCAAGAACAGTATGCAATGAAAAATGAACTGTCACAGAACAAGTGTTCTTTGAAAATTAAAAACAGGATAACAGAAGTGAAAAATTCAATTAACAAGATGGAAGGTGAGGTAATTGTCCATAAAGCAGATCAAAAAGAAATCAAAGAAAATAGAGGAAAAAATAAAAACAAAAGACCAGTCTTAATGTCCAACATGCAGACAACAGGGGTTCCCAAACAAGAAAACAAAGAAAAATGGAGCAGAGGAAATCAAAAGAAATGATTCACGAAAATGTCCCACATTTTAGATTAAAAGGGCCCATTCTCAGCACATGATAAACAGAGACCTACAACAAGCATACATCTGAGAAACGTGCAAACACTTGGTACTAAGAAAATCCTAAAAACTGCTAGAGACTGTAAAACAGGCCACAGCACAGGATCAGGAACCAGAACAATTCCTGCTTCCCACAGGCAACAATGAAAGACGGTCAATAAGCAGTGCTTTCAAATTCCTAAGAAAAAAGATGTCCAACCTAGAACTGTATTCTCAGTCACCTTCCAGATATGAAAAGTCTCATAAACTACCTCCCAAGTATGCTTTCTAATAAGCGACCAGAGCAACTACTAAAACTAGGACCAACTTAAAACAAAAGATGAGCTAAGACCCAATAACAGGAGACCGGAGCTAGGAAGGAACCTCCAGGTGATGATGAGAGCTGCTTAACAGACTGAAGATCTCAAGTCCAGGTCAAAGCAGAGCCACAGCTCCAAAGATGAAACCAATGGGATCCTGGGCACAACTGAACTCAGTGAGAGGAGTTTTAGACACTCAGGGAAAACCTTAAGGGTGAAGCTGTTTTTCTAAGTACTTGTCCCAGAGCAAAAAAACAAACACTTAACTCCAGGGAAAACAAAATGTTGGAAAGGAAAAATACTAAGCATACACTATTTGGCTTCACAAGTTTATCAACAAACTTCACATAGTCACACTAATTATCATACAACCACTGAGGCATATATCAAAAGAAACAGTTCCCTGTGACTCCTGGCAATGTATGCAGAATTACTGAGCTCTAAACTCTGCACATATATAGCTGATGAAAACAAAAACTAAATTTAAAAAAAAATTGTTGCCAAGACTCATCCTTTGCTAATAGTGATAAAATATTCAGAACAGTTAATATTATTTGAGATGAAAACATAGATTTTTAAAGATATAGCATTAAACTAATGTAACATCTGGATTCTTAAGGAAAAATGACAAAAATAATTTTTTTTTAAATTTTTAGTGTTCTATAGTTCTTTTTAAGTCAATAAAATTCCACAATCTAATAGGTGTTTCCACGGCTTAGGTAGTCTCTTGATGTTTTTTTCCTCCCTGTCCTGCATGTGTAATAAGTAAACATTTTTTATTAAAAAAAAAAAGTTTTAGTTATTCCAATTTCTCAACAGTGAATGTGGAAAAGCTGCTAAGATTTGGATATTTCACATGTACATAGTTAACCTAATTTTATATTTTAAAAGATTCTGTCACTTCCTTCCTGTATACTGATTTTGTTTCCTCGGTAACTAGTAACTAGCAATTATAACTTCAAAAACAAAACCAACTCCGTGGAAAAGAACAGGAAACTCAAACTCCTATTTGTAGTACATTTGTATATCTTGAAATCATCTTTATCTGCTTATGTCTTCCTATAAAAGAGTAACCTTTCATTTGTATCCTGGAAAACAATGAAACAAAAATTAAAACTAGAGATAAGGCTGAGAAAGTTGATGGGAGCAGAGAGTCCCTGATTTCTCCCTGAATAAGTGAAGGCTTTCAGGAAAAAAAAAAAAGTTTCTTTGAGTCTTCCTATACTGTTAGCAATAGACTGTCAACATCTCATTGACGTATGGCAGACACTCCTAATAAGATTTTTTATTGTTCTGGTCAGAGTATAATACCCATTTCCATATACAAAGCACAACCTATTTTAAGGACAATTTATTTAATCTTCATTTATTAGGATTCAGTGGACAAAAGGAAGGGTTTAATCGGCAGGCAATTTTTTAAAAAAGTTTTAAGTTATAACTGACAGTGAGCTGCACATATTTAAAGAGCACAATTTGATGTCTGGACATATGTACATACCCATGGTGAAGCCATCATTCCAATCAATATAATAATAAACCTATCTATCACCTACAAAAGTTTCATCTTGCCCCTCCCCCAGAAGCCACTGATCTGTCACTGTAGTTTGCATTTTTCTAGAATTTTATGTAAATGAACTCATACAGTACATACTCATATTTTGGTGTGTGTGTGGGGTCTGGTTTCTTTCTCACAGCATAATTATTTGAGTTTCATCCATACTGATGGGTATATCAATAGCTCACTCCTTTTTACTTTGAGTAGTATTCCACTGTATGGGTATGATATCATAGAGTCTGTTTATCCATTCTCCTGTGGATGAATATTTCGGGTGTTACAAATAAAGCTGTTATGAATATCCATGTACAAATCTTTGTATGAATATATGTTTTCATTTCCTTTGGGTACATACCTAGGAGTGAAACTGATGCGTCATATTTTAGGGATATATTTTAACTTTTTAAAAAAATGCCAAACTGTTTTCCAAAGTACTTGTACCATTTACATTCCCAGTGTAGGAGAGTTCCAGTTCTTCCACAAATCTGTCAACACTTGGTATGATCAGTCTTTTTAAATTCTGCCCACTCTAATAAGCATCTAGTATTATCTCACTGTGGCTTTAACTGATATTTTCCTAATAACTAATGATGCTGAACATCTGTTCACCTGTGCTCTTTGCCATTCATACATCTTCTTTGGTGAAGTATCTGTTCAACCCAATAAAAGGCTCATTTTTTATTGGGTTGTTTTCTTATTATTGAGTTTGAGAGTTCATTATATATTTTGAATACAAATCCTTTATCAGACATGTAATTTGCAACTATTTTCTGCTAGTTTGTGCCTTGTCTTTTCATTTTCTTAACAGTGCCTTTCGAAGAGCACTATTTTAAATTTTGATGAAGTCTTATTTATTTTGTCTTTTACGGATATTTTTGGTACTGTATTCAAAAATATCTTTGCATTGTTTAAGTCGCAAAGTTTTATCATATGCTTTCTTCTAGAAGTTTTGTAGTTTTAGGTTCTACATTTAAGTCTATAATCAATTCTGAGTTAACTTCTGTATAAGAGGTAAGATTTGGTCATGGTTTATCATTATTATTATTTTTTGCATACGGATGTCTATTCCAGAACTGTTTGTTTTGGAAACATCCTTTCTTTATTGAACTGCCTTTGAACCTTCGTCAAAAATCAATGGACTATTTACATGTGAGTCTAGTTCTGGACTCTGTTCTGCTCGGATCAATGCCTCGACCCTTTCAGCAATGCCACCGTGTCAGGATTCCTGTAGTTTAACAGTAAGTCTTGAAACCAGGTAGTGTGAGTCTTTCAACTTTTTTCTTCTTTTCCAAATTATCTTGAATATTCTGTAGTTCTTTCCAGATACATTTAGAATCAATTTGTTGATTTCTAAAACAGAAAACTCCTACTGGGATTTATTTTTGAGGGAGTCATTAAGATGATGGAAAGTTTTTAAGTTTAGAGATATGTAAAGTCGCCATCTTATCCCGCTGCCTATCAGTTCTCACTCTTTATACAGCTATAGGATCTGATGACAGGTGAAATGTCAGGAGCTACATCACCATAAGGTTAATTCCACTTTTCTTACATGTGAATAATATGAAACAGCTGCTTATTTAAGAGAAGAGTATAACTCGCCAGCACAAAACAAACACAGTTTAAGCTGCACATATGAATGGTGTTTTGTAAGTAAGATGATTTTTTCAAATGTTTTTATCTTTCCTTTGTGCCTTGAATACCATCCAACAAATGTTTACAGTTTAGACTGTAAAATCCTTGGGGCACATCAAGTTAGTACTCCTAAAGAACAGCTAGTTGACTGCTGGGTAGTGAAGGATTCCTAAATGCACAAATACTTTTATCAGTTATCACATCAGGAAAAGTCAAGCTTTTCAGACAACTGAAGCTTTTTCTTTAAGCATTAAAACACTTCAGCTTTACTGTTTGTTGCAGAAACTTCTTAAAACAAACATCTAACCTCATGTGACACTCGTCAGTGTCAACACTAAGCAACAGGCCCTAGTCTAGTGCAGCAACCTCAGAGCTGTGAATGGCCTGGAGGCCGATGGCGCCATGCTCCTTTTGGAGTTGTCCAGCTTGCTTTCAAAGGTCTCTGTGTGGGCTGGCCTGCTGCTTCCTCCCCCTCTTGATCATAACTCCCTCCTCCAGGGAGAGGCCACGAGAGGCCAAGTGTCTATTTTGCCAAAGCTCATTTCTTTAGCAGGAGGCTGCAGGCAGTCACATTGCACACAGTTTCTTCATTTGACACTGCACAAATACAATTCTCGGCCACTGAGGACAGGGGCGAATCAAAGCCAAGATCATCAGAAGGGCTGTGAGTGGGGCTGACTATCTCAGGAACACTCCATGCTCATCAGTTTCCCAAATGTGCAGACCCTATGCAGGCAGACAATCGTCATCAGCCCCTCAGGAGAGACGTGACAGTGAGAAACAGAGAGTAGAAGGGAAGAGACATGCCCAGGGTTCCAGGGACTTGCTGGGCTCTAGACCCCTAGGAGGGCTAGAAGATGCTGTGATTTCAAGAGTCTCCAGTTGTTGAGATTTGGGTGATGGTGGCAAATTTAATATTCTCCAAAATCTAACATAAGTTCTTCTCGTACATTTTGAAAAGACATCTCTAGCTTAACAACTGATTCTCATGATGCAGTACCTTCCAAATCAAATGAAGATTTTATCCTTTTAGTAGAGAAAGTATTTAAAGTACTTCGATGTAGATATACTCTTTGACAAACTAGTAAACTGCACATACTATATGCACTAGATACTAACCAGAACCTTTTATTCCTGAGAATATTTCCCAATAATGCAGGAAGCAGATTTTCCTTATCAATCAGTTTTCAGGCACGTGGTCAAAGGAGAACCTCACCCAATATGATGGGAGAGTAACAGAACCTTGAGGACAGGGCCTGCCAGAATACATTTCCCAGCCTCTTCCACAGCTAAGCGGGACCAAGAGACTAAGTTCTGGTCAACAAAACATGAGCAGAAGTGTCTGGTGGCTACTTTTAGCAAAGTTCTTTAAAAGAAAAATAAAACTTTCCCCCTCCTCTTCATTCTGCTACCTGGGAGGAAAATGTGAGGACAGGAGCCCTAGTTGCCATCTTGGGCAATGAGGCTAAGGTTCACCTCGTAGGGCTGCCAAAGCAGTTATCTGGAGGGAGCCTGGGCCCTAAGGATTTTAGGGAGCACAACTGCCATGCCAGCACCAAGCTGCCTCCCTGTATATGCCAACGTTAAGCCACTGTTATTAAGGGTCTCTAATCCTAATACAGTGTGTCTCAATTTTCACGATTCTCCACTTTACCCAACTTAGGTAATAAACTACCAGCAGCTGAGCATATCAGTCTAGAGAATGTTCACCATACAGACCAAGGAGCTTTTGTTATCTAGTGGGTACAAAACAGCAACTTGTGTTGGCCAGCTTTTACTATATCAGATTCTGTGCTGAGTGCTTTGAAGAGATTATCTCATTTAATTCTGTCCCCCCGCAAAACCTTCCTCCTTTACTAACAATAGAGGTGTTGGGGTACAGAGTTCAGCATTGTCCTTGTCACATGGCTAATAGAGATAGAACTGGACTGTTAACTCCAGCCCATCCCAGAGCCCAGGCCCTTCCCCCTCATGAAGGTCACCAAGGTCAGGGGGTGAGTACCCTGCAGGCTGAAAGTCTTGTCTTAGCGATGGCCCACCCATGGTCTCAGCCTCAGCTTTCTATCTCCCAAAGCACCATCAGTGCTTTGCGAAAAGGCTTGTCTGTTATTTAAATAAATAAAAGTATGTATTAACAGTAAATATTTTCTTCCTATCCCTTAGAGGAAAAAAGGGAAAAAAAATTAGCATCTTACCTCAAAGGAACATTCAACATTTCTTTCATTTTTTTTGTGTGATAATCCCTTCAGGTCTATCTTTTCAACACTCACTGTAAAAGTGAAAAAAACAAAAAAACAAAAAAAACAAAAAAAATCACAAAATTATAAAAATGAAATAAAACCTTAAAGTACATATTAGTTAGCATTTCATATTTTAGCAATTTTAAAAATAAGGCTTTCATCATCCAGTGCTGCTCAATCTCTTCTGTGATGTGTTCACCTGGAATGAGAGACTTAAGAGGAAGGCAAAAAGCTGTCATGCTCAGGAATGGAGGGTGAATTTAAAAGCAAAGCAGGAAAAACAGACAAAATAAATACAAATCACAGAAAAGGAAGAGAACAGTGCTTGAAAGGAGAACATGAATTTATTTGAATGCATGAGAGTAAGAACTCTCTAACTGAAGATTAGTTATGACCTGTTCCAATTTCTGAAAGACTAATGCTCAATGTCTTCCACTGTGACTATTTCAAACACAGCTGCCCAGAGTCTCTCATTGAATTGTCTTGTCAACAGAGCACTGTCTCATCCTTCTCTGACAGGGCAAGGCTGGAGGCAAGCCAGGTATCAATTATAGAAGAAACAGTGAAGAATCCTAATGCTGCCCCTAAAGAGCATAACGAGGATTGTCAGAGACGAGTGGCACAGGTGGACAATGACCAGAAAAGACAAACCACCTTTAGGGAGAGTTCTAAAGTCATCAGTTTCTTTATACTGCCCTTTTCGCATACGTGGGTGCAGTTTTTTCTTCTCAAAAATAAAATGATACACGAGACACACCTTCTATTACTTTTTACTATTTCTAGAGGTCAATTGGCAGTGTATTATGAGAATTTCTACAGATCTTTTAACCATCCCTGAAAACTTTCATGATTTGAAGGAAATATCTAAGAAACTCCTTCTTGTACAATGTCCATGTACATTAGAATATTAAAGGCTCTGAGAAGTTGTGCAGAATAAATCTTTTTAACAATTACCCCCACACTCCGTTTTTTTTGGTAACCACATTCAAAGTGTTCAACAGCTACACGTGGTAGTGCCTACCAATACTATACAGCACAGACACAGAACATTCAGTCATCACTGAGAGTTCTATTGGACAGTGCTGTTCTAAGCCAGGGGCTGGCAAACTGCAGGCTGCCCTCCGCCTGTCTGTGTAAATGGTTGTATTGGCACATAACCACACCAATTGCTTACATATCGTTAATGGCTGCTTTCCACCCCACAACAGCAGAGCCATCGTATGCCTCCCAAAGCCAAAAATATTTACTATTTGGATCTTTGCAGAAAAAAATTTGCCAAGCTGCTCTAAACCAACAATTATTCATTCACCAATATGTCTTATGAAGTTCCTGCTGTGGACCAGGCCTTCTTCTAGGGGCTGGGAATAGAGCAGTGAACAAGATAGATGGGTTCTTATACTCAATACAGGTTTTGGTCCAATGGGGAAAAGACCCTTCACCTGCTAAATTATTCTCTCATTAACCTCCTTAATTTTGTAAAGTTACATTAGGGTCAATATGCATCTTGGGAGATACCAGAACCCATTCAATTTAGAGTATCTTAAGTTTAAAATAGCACCTTACAGGAAGGAATTACCCTAAAAAGAATAAGATTGTTTGTTTCCTTTCTGGCAAAACAAAGAAAACACTACATTTGGAGGTTGTACACCTCCCTATTTTCACTCAGTGAAACTACTCACTTTCCTGTCTGACTTCCTTAGTTAGACAGTCAGCAAATAAACAGCTTTTGTGTTTTCCCAACCAGTATTTTTAAAAACTTACCCACAATGACATCACTGTAATCCAGATCTCTTACTTTTTTAAACAATAGAATATATAAAGTCAATGAGAACAGAAACACGTAGTCAGTATTCTCCCTAGCCACAAAACACCAATGTGTACCTAAATGTCCCAGGACTGAATAATATTAGGATTTATGAAAAAAAGTAAAAAGAAAAAACCTCATCTGGACTGAAAGCGGGAAGTGACTCATATCTGGGCAGGAAAATGTGAGGAGCAGATGAACATTATTCAGCTGTTTTCAAATAAGGCATTTTGAACTCCAGGACTGAAATGTTTGTGAGACCTCTACAAAATTGTTGACCAACCTAGACATGGTGCTTTGTGTCAGCTAAGCTGGCACCACCACCTCATGTGCAGGCAGCTGCTGCAGCAGCTTTCACAGCTGGGACAGCTCCAGACCAAATAAATGGTTTAAAAGTTCTGCTGTTTCACTCACAGTGAAATTCTCCCCACACTGCCCTCCCTGAAAATAACACCCATCGTCATACAGGGCTCTGAAGACGGGAGAAGGGGAGCCTGCTGGAACGGAAGCATAGGAGGGCACTGGTGGAATGATTTTCTGCAGCAGACAGCAGTAGGGACAATGGCTAATGTGGGGAGCAGGGTTATGGGATCTTTAATTAGGCTCCAAGATGTTTAAGCAAGCTCTCAATTTTGGTGCTATATTAAAGACCATTATTATAAAAACAAAATCATAAAAACTCATAAAATAAACTGAAAAATTATAAATTACATGTGTAACATGATTACAGTTGTATGAAATACAAAAGGAAAACAGACTAAAAATAAATTATCAAAAATGATAGAAATAATTATTTGGTAGTGGAATTATGAGTGCCTCTTTCCCCAAATTTCTGTAATGTGGTTTCATAATTTTAAAGTGTATGCCTATATGCATAAAAGTATGTTTACAATCCACTTAAAGTCTACTGGTAGATAAAGTGATGCTCATTTCTCTCTCACCTCGCTGGGTCAGTCCTACAGACTCTGTCATCTAACTGTCACAAAGGGAGTCCTACAACTTTCCGAAAAGTGCAAGCAAACCTGTGTAAATTTGAGGGGCTAGATATCAATCCATTGCCTGACAGGACAGAAGAGAGCAAAAAGTGACTACAAAGATGGGATCTGCATCAAGTGAAGAGACTCACAGACTGAAAGGGCACCTTCTGTCTGGCTGGAGATCAGACAGTCGCGGCCAGGAGCAGTGCCCTAAAAGGCGGACTGGGAAAAGCAGGCACTCCTAAATGGTCAGAAACTTGGGGAATGCAGAGAAACAGGGCTGGGGTCTAGTCTGTATAGGCACATCTGTGTAGAGAAGATAGAGCTGGGACAATGGGACATGAGGCTAGACCAGCCTGCTCTCTCATGTGGAAATGAGAAAGAAAAGGACAATGTGCTTTTTCCTTTAAGAATTTTGTTTGTTCAAACTTCTTTTCTCATTCAAGATGCACAACAGAAATTCTCGAATCTTACGGGTTAGATCACAGAGTCTTCAATAACATGTATAACTGCATTAAACTACCAGTTTAATAACTGAATCAATACCTAATTTAAAATCAATACACTAACGTAACAAGAGGGATGGAAATTTGTTAGAAAAGAAAGTACAGATATGTTGCATAAAAGTCCTGGCACGCATCCGAAAATGCTTGAAGCAGGAGAGGGGAACCACATGGGAGCAGGGGCTAGCAAAAAGTCAAAGATGATTTAGGACAATGACTGACCCAGAGGCCACACAGCCAGCAGGTGCCAAAGCCAGGACCAAGAACACATTTTCTTCATTTCGGCCCAGAGAGCTCCTCATGAAAACTGCCACAGCCTAAGGATGACCTTCACTACCAAGTATCTTCAAATAATTTACAGAATCCAACTGTCACATCAGTACTTATAAGACACCTATAAACAATGGCTTTAATATGTTCCAAGAATGAGCCGCTCTTTTGAAACATTTTCCCTTTCTAAAGTCTTCTAGAAAAAACTGGATGGTTGGTAGTTTTCTGCCAAATAGGTCTTTTATTTGATTTCTATGTATCTTTATTAGTTTAATTCTATATGCGCAATAACAAGAAACTACTTCAAAAATTATTGAAATTATGCTAAAATCATAATAAACATATTATTTATAACTGAGAAAAAAATTTTTCAATCATTTTCTAGCACATACACCTCCTTCTCCTAAATTCTGTACAACAGAACTCAAAGTCTTCATACTTGAAATAAAGAAGCTGAACCAGAATAACATTTAAGATGCTACCTGCTTTAAAATCTTATTGCTGAAATTTGGTTTTCATTTAAAAATTGAAAAACTGTATTCTTAAAAGTCTCAGCTGAATAATAATGTTCCTAAAATATCAACTTTCTCACTTTCATTTAGTTGTCTGTGTTAATGAGGATAATTTTTAGAAGCATTGCTTCTTTCTGTTGTTAAAATGTGAACATTCACTACTACACTGATTAAACTGATCCTTCTTTTTTACATCTTTTTAGGACATAAATCATGTTATATTTAAGAACTCCAGAAATTATTTTTCTTTGATTTTTTAAATCATCTAGCTATCTTGCATTAATTTGATTTGTTAGTTCTCCAAAAATAGAAACAAAAGCAGTGCATGACAAAGAAAACACAAAACTGATAAAACACATTTCCAAAGTAGTAAAAACAGGAAATGAACACACACATATTCCATTTGAGTGGTTAGTGATAAGATACTTGATTTAGGGCCCTGAAGAATTTCACTCATTTATGTACTGAGGCAAACACTGTTTTTCAGCATTAGTATGTAGTAGGTGCAGTACCAGCCATAAGTGATATAAAAATTACAGAATTCAAAGAAGTAATACTTAAGCTAGACCTCAAAGGGAAGGGCTGGCCCATCTGGGCAGAGGGACACAGTGACCTAGGCCCAGGTATGACAACGCATGGTGTCTGAGTAAGTTTAGTTGCGGTGGGAGTCAGGAACTCAAAGAGAGGAGTAACAGGAGACCCAAGCAGAGAGGAGAGAAAAGGTCACAAGGAGGCAAGGGCATAGAAAGGGCACATAAGGAAACTCGGGCTTCGCTATAGGTCAAGGTAAACCCATGGTCTCTGCAGTCAGATGGCCTCAGTCTGAAATGTGACACTTTCCAGCTCAGTGACTCTGGGCAGTTATTTAATCCCTGAACAAAAGGAATGATGGTTCCCACTTCGTAGGCTTGTAGCATCAACTAGGTAAACACATGCAAACTGCAGGGCAGCACCTGATGGTAGTCAGTGCTGTATGACACTAGTTGCTGCCATCAGTGCTGCTGACAGACTTCCTAAACTGGGGGACCGTGATCCAACATGCTGGATAGGACTCTGCTCACCAAAGAGGCTGGAGAGGAGAACCTACAGGTGGCAGAGAAGACAAAGGCCTGAACTAGGATGCTGGCCCAGTGATGGGAAGAAGAAACCATGACAACCCTATAGGGCCAGACATGCTAGGACTATGAGGGCTGAGACCCCTTTAGAGAGAGAGGGAGCTGCCATGGATTTCCAGATTTTGTTCCAAGTACCTGAATGCTGGTATCGATCCATGAATATTGGAAACTCATTTTAGGGGGTGGCAATGAAAGTAATGGTTGCATTCTAGGCATACTGACTAAGGTACCAGTAAACCACCTATGTGTAAATACTCGAAGACCAAGAGGTTCACAGGGATTTGGGGTCCCAGAGAAGGGTCTCAGCTGGACTCATAGATCTGAAGTCATCAACAAATTGACAGTGGCTTTAGCACAGGCTCAGAGACTGCTCAGACAGTGTTAAGTGGGGGACCAGGAAAGAGCCTGGAGTGCACTGACATTTAAGGGGCAGAAGAGAGAATTGCAAAGGAAACAGAAGTTGACAGAAATGCTTGAGGAAAACCACGCCAGCATGTTGTCAGGAGACCTGTGAAACCAGCACGCCACATCAATGCTTGTCTAGGTCTGATGTTCCACAATTTAAAAACAGAAAAAAAACGGATATGGTTCCATAGTGTAGCAGTTAGCACGTCTGCTTTACACACAGAAGGTCCTGGATCGTGCCCCAGTGGAGCCACGGTCCATGGTCTACAGCCATGCCACCCTGAACAAGCTTGATGTCTGATCTCGGAAGATAAGCAGGATTGGGCCTGGTTAATACTTAGATAGGAGACCATCTAGGAAGACCAGGTGCTGTAGGCATAAATAATAATAATAATAATTAAAATAATAAAAAAATAATAAAAACAGAAGAAGGGGGGAGGAGACACGAAGTATGGGGTGGGATTATCACAAATTCCAGGTGAAGAGCCAACTTGTCACCCAAGAAGTCATTCATCACCTTCAGAGAGGAGGGTGTTACAGTCAGGGTGCAAGGACTAAGGGTCATGTAGTACCCACTCCTCTTCCTGGAGCTGGGCTGTGGGCGTGTGGCACATGTACACGATCACACACGTGATGACACATGGCATGTCGGGAGAACTACGCCAATGGTTAACAACTTACTTTGAAATGTACTAAATAGCAGCATTATTCACAATGGCCAGGACACAGAAACAACCGAAGTGTCCTACGATAGATGACTGGCTAAAGAAGCTGTGGTACATATATTCAATAGAGTATTACTCAGCCATAAGAAGAGATGAAATACAGCCATTTGCGACAACATGGATGGAACTCGAGATAATCATGCTAAGCGAAATAAGCCAGACAGAAGAAGTTGAAAATCACATGAAATGTATTAAAAAATGCAATGTCTTGATGGATGGAAAGATGGGCAGAAAAGGGAGAAGAAAGTAAAGTAAAATGGAACTGTGAAATCCAGGTGGTATTCACTATAAAATTCTTTGTGTTTGAAAGTGTTCGTAATAAAATGTTTAATAAAGAATAGAGAAATTTAAATTATCAAGGCTTCTCAATTCCAAATGCACATTAGAATCCCCAATACAACCCAAGAAAAATAATATACTACTGGTATTTTAGAATGCAGGTTTTATTGTAATTTCTGCCTTATCAGAATTCATGTTCTACTTCTATTAGTTAGGTTTTGTTTTACCAAAAGTACAAGACTTTTAAGTCATCTTTCATCGCCATAATGCTGCATGACAAACAAAAAAAACCTTAGTGGCACACAACAAAAAGCATTTATTTAGGTAAAAAAAAAAAAAAAAAGTTTTAATTTGCAATATGGTAAATATAATCCACATAAATAAAAGCTCTTTGGAATCAATTTTTAAGAATGCAAAGGGGTCCTGAGACATAAAAGTTTTAGAACTTCTAGTAGATAATCTGCAGTTTAATTAAGTTCAATGAAACTGTCTCACAGATTTTAAAAAATAACTATTCAAAGTCCAGAGAACAAAGTTAGATAACTTCTTTCACTTATAGTATTATTAAAAGTAATTTCCACCTCACCGTGTACATTATCACTGTTTCCCTAAGTTTCGATAAATAAAAAATACAAGTGATTGAGTCTGGGAAGACTTGGAGCTCTCCCGGTGTACGAGATGGTCCTACACAGCATTCCTGGGTAACTCAAGGCCCCAAAGGAACACATGACCAATATCTGTGGCTGAAGCCAGATGTGGGCAACTACTGCACTGTTCTCTCCACTCCTGTACTTGAAAATCTTTAGAACAAACAGTATAGGAAAAAGGTAACGCTTTCACTTTTTAATGTGTACTTTTAAGCACTGCTACCTTGATTTGCCTTTTCTATTCTTTTCAATCTTACACAAGTGGTTAGGAGCATTAGTTCTGGGCTGGAATCCCAGCTTTCCTTAGGAATATTACTTAACTGTGACTCAGTTCTCCCATCTGTAAAATGCGGGCAATAATCTTCGTTGGATTGTTGTTAGAATTAAACAGGTATAACTGAGCCCCCAGAGCTCTTAGGAAGCTTATGTAGGTTAGTCTAGGTAACAAGCTTGGAACATGGCCTGATCAGAACAGTCAGGGTTTCAGATTGTCCTTACTGCTGTTCTCTGAGCTTTTATACAAAAGAAATGGAAAAGTCTGACCTTTTTTATAAGTTAAATTATATCAGTGAAGATTTCCAAATAAGCAGAGACAAACCAAATCACAAGTGCGTTACAGAAAAGACAGTGAGAAAACTTTATAGTAATAACACTTAAGAGTGACTTTGGACTTTCAAAAGAGCAATAACCTAGACCTAACAGAGTATCATGAGAAGTGTGACTAATAAAACTAAGTTAATTTGCTTGCCAATTTCTGGACGGAAGAAACTATTATTCCCTATGACCATGAATGAAGAATAGATAATTAATGATGTTTTGGCCCAGCTGATGCTAAAGCTGGCTCATCGCTCTTTCTCTGGGTACTAATATACATATACAAGAGAATGAAAGAGATAATAGCCACATTTTCTGCAATTATATTAAAATACAGGAGTGAGGGGTCTTGATAATTATGTCTCGAGGAAAAAGCACTGTGGTGAAAAAGAAGCCAGGCCTACAGATCAGGAAGGCAGGGTACAGGTTCCAAGATGGATAGTTTGGAGACAAAAGGAGCCAACAGTCCATCAGAGGCACTGTTCCCTGGATGACATGTAGAAGTTAAAATTACAAGAGCAGTTTTAGCAGGAGAAAGTTCCTATGACTGAGTGACAACTACTCATCCTGGGAGTTGAGGCCTTGCTGTGTCCTAAGAATGATGGTCCCTGAGCAGATTATATAACATGAGCTGACTGTGCTCCCAAGGCCACTATGAGGACTGTTTGAATACCATAACATGGTTATGTATACATAAACATGAGCACAGCCATTAGGACACACATATATCCAACATACAACTGAAGTCAGGGATGGGTGGCTCTCTATAATTTTGTCAGACAGGGCTTTATTTTAAAAACAAAGTGTTTATTAAGCATCTGTGAGGTACAAAGCCCTGTGCCTGAGATATGAGGGAGACAGAGAAGGAAAAACACACAGAACAAGCAGGTGTGGCTCCCACTGTGGCACAGCTCAATTCTAGGAGAGACAAACAAAAGGGAGAACGAAGGATGCCTGAGTGAGGGACCAGCCAACCTCGAATACTCCAGGGTCTCACGATGACTGAGTCAAGGTTGCCCTGGCCCTCCCGATGACTACATACTTGGGGTTTACTCTGAGCCCCACCTGGTTCTACACATCACCTTCACTCTCCTCCTGGAAAGTCTCCCACACCTCCACACAGCTCGCCAATTATATGGCAAGCTGACTGTGACTGTCCAACTAGCTGCACAAAGTCAAGCATATGAGAATCAAGGAACTCATAGCTTTGTCTGAAATGTGCCCTCCATCATGCCCAGAGCTACACTGCTCATATGGCAGCCATGGTCCACACTAGGCTACTCCAATTGCGACTGTAATGAAATAAAAATAAAATTTCATTGCTTCTCAGCCATTTGGCTAAGATCAAGTGTAAAAATAAAATTTCAGGTCCTTAGTTGCATAAGCCACCTTTCAAGTGCTCAAAAGGCCCATGTGGCTGATAACCACCAAGTTAGAGCAGATATAGACCATTCCATTATGGTAGAAAGTTCTTCAGGATAGTGATGCTCTAGAATTTGGACTTATTTTGGCGTGAAGCAAGGAGAAGGGTATAAAACTTTCATTTTTTTCCCCTTTTAATAAACATCAATATTTGAAATTTTTACAGCCAAGATATGTTTATGTATTACTTACAAAATTTAGAAAAACGATATGAATTTTGATGAGCATTTACAAAAGACCTGAAAGCACTGAACCAAACATCATCTCAGGATCTCCCCTCCACATTGCAGTGCATCTCCTTCCTTTCAACCCTGCGGGCGGACAGACTCACCTTTGGAGTGTTTTCCTACAGTCCTTTTGGGCAGAGACTCCTCAGTGGAATGTGCTGATGTACGCAGTGCATTCTCCAAACTATTACTGACACTGGTGACGGGGGTCTCGGTTCGTGGATTGACCTGAAGGTATAAAAATATAACCATATTATTTTCTTCTGTTTGGTTCATATGGAATAATTTTCATTATTTAGAAGTCATTTATGTTTACTGTACTTTCAAATTTTTTCTATAAAACATTACTAGTGTAGTAATAAGGACTTCCTACAAAAGACGAAAATTTCACCAATCTACTACTCACCATTGAAATTTAAAAATGGCCTAGATAACTTTAAGCAAACACAAGAATTTATGTCTTGTGTCCATGATTCCCTCGACTGGATAAAACTGTCGGCGAAATTGTCATGACTATCTATATCTGAGAAAGAACCTATAAAATTAACCCAAGACTTAACGCTGTCCTACGAATCTTAAATAAATCATAAAATGCTCTGCAAACAACAGTAAAGAACAGAACACAACTGGATCTAGTTGAGGGTACATTTTACAAAAGCATATTCTGAAATTATATCACAATTCCATTTCTAGGACTTCATCATACAAAGCACTTACATGTAAAAAAAATGCGTGAGAGGGGATTGGGGGATGCTCACTGCAGCAGCATTTCTAATAGTAAAAAGCTTAAAACATCTTAAATAGCTGCTGAAAGACACCAAACTAAATGAGAGTGCATCGACACATGGACTGTGATAGTCATAAAACAACCATGAAAGATCTTCGACATACAGGAAGATTAAAAACAAGTCAGAATATCATTTCAGCCCCTCCTCCTTTTCTTCAGATTAAAGTGAATGTGTCTGTATGTAAATAAACAGAAAGGGGCCCAGAAGGATAAGGCAAACTCCTAACCATAGTGACCTCAGGAGCAGAGAGGAGACTTTCTTGGATGGGGGGAGGAAAATGCAATAACTTTTGTTTTCCCTTAATAACAATTTTGTATTTGAAAGTTTTATAGCCAAAATATATTTAAGACGTAGGATTTAGAAGAAAAAGAATGACCAATGCTTTAACTTCTTCAGAGTCACAACTGAATATATGTCAAAATTTCAAAGGACAGTAGAAGAAAGTTAAGATGTTAAAGTTTATCAAGAGAGACATGACTTTTCACAAGTAGAACAGTATGCTACACAAATAAAGGGGGAATCACTTGGAGGAAAGGAAGGATGACTTTTGGTCCTGATTCTGATACGGGTTCAACTTGAGACACGTATGTAACCCCCTAAGCTCTCTGGCCTTTGTTTTCACTAGTTTACTTCATTCCCTGGAGAGCAGGTGGGAGCTGATCAAAAGAATCTGTAAGTGCACTGCAAGCACACGCCCCTTCACCCACATAAAGGCCTGGTGGGAGGACAGGGGGAGGCAGAGGCAGGGTTAGGAGAGAGGACGACGGAGATGGTCGCCACTCCTGCAGGGCGGAGCTAGCATTTACCGCATTAAATAGCGACATCCAATCATTCACAGAGAACTGCAGGAGGACAACACACCACATACGCAAGCGCTCTCTACTTCTACCTTTGTCAAAGCCACTTGAGCAGTAAGGTCTTCTGGGCTTTGTGCAGAGAAGTCTCATCGTGCATACACAGCACAGGACTGGCAGGCCCTGTACTACGCAAGAGACCCAGCACAAGAAAAGGAACTCATCACAAACCTAGGTAATCCGGAAGTTAATATAACTCAATGAAATAATCCCACCCATCCAGTACTCCTCCAAAAAATCAATTCTTTTGATAATTTACCAAGATGTTATCAAGACAGTTAAAATGTTAAATAACTTAGGTCAGAGTACTCCAGAAATGAACTTCTTTCCTATTAAAAAAGATAATAACTACAGTAATAACTCCAAAAGCAAGATTTTGTTTCAATAGTAAATATTACTATAGGAAACAACTCAGGAGGTGAATATTTTTAACTACAAAATAAATATAACCACAGCAGATTCTATCCTATTTGGCCTGACTCATATGAACCCCCATGTTCTCTTAGCTACCCTGGTAATTCTAAGTCCTGGCCCTAAGAGGCTGAGTTGTCTGGACTAGCGACAAACCTCTCCTGCCCTGAGCACACGTACACACATACTTGCCCACCCTAAAACATCTCCAACAGCCACAAACAGAAAACCAGCCTCCAGACACTCAGCCTGCAGGGAGAAGGGGAGAGGGAGCAAAGGGCTGAGTAGAGGAAGAATACACTACAGTCATGATGTTTGACTCTATGGCCAGGAGAACACAGCTTGTAAAATATGGAGAGTTGGACTGAAAGGGTGGTTCTCAACCTGGGCTGCACCGGAAGCCCCGAGGCACTGGAAGAACATAAGCCAATTCCAAGTCCCACACACCCATTAAATCACGACTTCTGGAGTAGGGCTGGGACACTGACTGTGGTTTTCTGTTCTGTACATTTAGCTCCCCAGGTGATTCTAACTGCAGGCAGGTCGTGGATCACTGCCACGTCCAGGGTTTTGACTGCACCCATCATCTTGTTAGTTCTCAGCAAAGACCAAGAGGAAACCCAGTGTGTGGAGGAGTTCCTTCAGCAGATTAACAGGAAAAGCTAGAGTATAGGTCCATCTGCCATGCTCCTAAGAGAAAGGTAGAACCTCCGAGTTACCCTCATGAAATGTGTTAAAATTCTTTAAAATTAGAACCACCAGAAAAAAAAATATATTTGTTTTCCTCAGTATTTTTTCCCCGAAGTATTTCTTACTTTTTCAAACGTTCACTTTTTCCAACCAAGCCTTTATCTTTACTTTGCTCCTTTGTTTACATTGAAAGCTGTCTTCACTTGCATTTCCCAGAAATGCTGTTTTTGGGGTTATTTTTGGTTAAGTTAATTTGCTCATGTGACCTACGCAGTTCAACTCAGATGCTCTCTGACTCACGCTCACAGCAGAGCTCCAGTCATCAGCTTGATGTGCACGAGAATGAAGACTTGATCAGTTCCAAATGCAGCCCTCTGCTACTGCAAAGAAGGCAATGAGAAAATGCTCTCCAACGACAGATCCCAACTCAACCTTGACGGATGGTTTCCATTAAGTTCAAAGTCCTTTTTTATGCAAGCTCCTTGCTTTATTACTAAGTGAACACTCAGTAATCATTCTTTGCATCTTCGCAGCCAGCTTCTCTGATGAGCTAGCTACAAGGGCCTGGCTCCTGTCATCTCTCTGATATCTCCCACTTCTCTGCTCTGCTCAATCACTGCAGCCACCAGGGATGGACTCAGCAGCCAGGTTCTGCCCAGAGCCTTCACCCTGCCTGGAATGGCCTTCTCAAAGCCATCATGAATGTCAACTTCTTAGCAAGGACTTCTCAAAGCTCAGTCAGACAGGGACATTTTGTCTGTTTTGTACTCTGTGTATGCTGTGCACTTCAAACAGTGCTTGGCACAAAATAGGCACTTAATAAGTATATGTAAAATACATGACTGTGACCACCAAATTTTAATGAAATTCAGGATTCAACTAACAAAAAAAAAGGACCTCTATCTCAAAGTAAAATTTCTGCAGTCTAAATAATGTACTACACAATCAGAATATTTCGCCAGATCTACTACAGGACTTACAAAGCTATAGCCATGAATAAAATGTGACTCTGAAGTGTGCTACTAGTGATGAGGCACACACTCCATTCTGTATTTCTACTGGGAAAGTGATTTTGGTCTAACATTTGCCACATACCTTAGACTAGTAATGGGCTAAAGTCCCACCAGCTGGAATCAGAGTTCATGCCTGGCTCCTCTGAGAGTTAACCCTCTAACTGTTATAGCTATTTAAAGAGACTCGGTCTCTGCATCCAAACTTTAATGTACAAAATGCCTCCAGATCTTGTTAAAACGGTGATTCTAATTCAGAAGGCCTGAGACTCTGCATTTCTCACCAGCTCCCAGAGGGTGCCGATGCTGCAAGAGTATTTCAAGATAAAGGAGCTCACCATGATCAGAACATTCACAAGCTGAACAACTTTCTTTTAGGTGGGACGTAAAAAGGTGTGTGTAGACAATTAGATCAGATGAATTCAAAAGACTCTTTCCAAGGGTAAGATGTGAAGATGACAAACCATATAAAGCATCAGCATAGAGAAGAAACACGTGTTGGACAGCATGACTCCTGCTAATTCTCTCCCTCATATATTTACACTTTTAAGGATTTCCCACAGTCCATGACAACTGATGAGAGTTCTAACACTACACAAAACTGCTTTAAAGCTTTGTGTTTAAAACTCATCTTTAATATTCATGGACCAGAACCACAGTTTTTAGAAGAGTCTTAATTGTTAAAATCTATTTCATTGAAGATCATTCACAGTCATCTGAATGGGAATGCTAACGTATGCATTACGTATGCATTATGTAACTGCCTGCAAGAGATGAGCTGACTGGAGGCCTGGGTCTCCAAAAGCCTCACTTCGCACCACTAACAGGCATTTCAAACAGCTCAGAAAAATGGCAATAGGCACCAGAGCTGGGGTTTTAACTTTCTCTGTGGAAAAACAAAACAAAAACACCTGTAGCTGTTTGATGAAGCCTACTGACCCTTCCCAGAAATATGTATTAAACCCATAAAATATACAGGATTGCAAGTAAAGTCAATTATACCAAAAAGTTATCAAAGTCTTAAACAAATTTTCTTCAACACATTTAGCAAGCGAGTGTCATGGAATCTGACATAGCGATGAAAACAAAGGATATCTTAAGATGCCTCATCCATTGCAATATGAAAACATCTGATTTTTGTTGGTGACAAGTCACAAGCACTGTTAACATCATGAGTTTCTACCCGCTTTCATAATAACAACAAATGCTACAGTTCCCATTAGAGGCTAGCGGAAGTAAAGCTGTGATCTTCCTTGTGGCCTCTAGGAGTGCGGGGGCTATGGTAGGGTTGGCCAGCAAGCTGTGGATGGGAGGAGGGTACTGCGAAGCAGACAAGCTGATACGCCAGAGTGCCCTGAGATCAGGACGTGGTGACAGGTGTTCCCTTCTGGACCAAAATGCCAAAAGACCACCATATCGAAAGTACTGCGACTGACAGTGCCCTCCTCACTTTTTATCTGAATAATGTTAACATA